TGTATTTAGTAGAGAGTTTGTTGAGAAAGTTCCTACATTTTATGGCCACTTTTGACGTGGTGCCATTACATTGGAGACATCTGATTGCAGCTTAATTGTCTGAGTATATTGTAACAGATTGTCCTGCTGTCCAACCAATTAGCAGCCTCCATGATAGAAAAGAGTTGCGTCTGAATAACGCTACAGTGGTCTGGAAGTCTTCTGCTCACATTTAATGAAAGCATGGGAGAATAAACTCCACATCCCACCATCCAAGAAGCTTCGAGCCATTTATGATGGCTATGGGTCCCTGGTCGGGGCATTGGTAGTTTCCCATTCGCACCTGTTGGGGATTCTAGTGGGTAAACGATATTCGAAGCACATGCAGGATGTAGTGTAGTATAGCTCCTTTGGCACTTCTGCTAGAGATAATACTTTGGTGTGTCCTCTATTTAAATCTTCCGAGGTTGAGCAGCATTAAGTCTGCTTGTAGTTTTCTGTAAAGGTCCAGAGGAAGGATGTTGAGAAGACTTGACAGGGCTTTCGAGGGAGTTGATGGAAATGCCCCTGTTACCAAGATAGCCACCGTTCGTTGAACTCACTCTAGTTTGTTCCTGAAAGAAATTTTATCGAGTACTGGTCATCAAAGAGTAACGCCGTAGAATAGGATTGGTCTAACAACCGATGTATAAATTCAGTGCACGATGCCCGGTAGTAAACCCCATCTTTTTCTTATCGTAGATTTGCAGGCGTAAAGGGTAGTTATAGCTTTCCTTGACCTTTCAGCCGTATTCCTGCTCCAGTTAAGCTTGCTGTCCAAGATTATGCCGAGATACTTTATCTCGGTTTAGGTGGCTTAAAAGGAGTTGGTTGGTGCCTTCTGGTAAAATCAGTTTTATCTGGGTTGCTATCCATTCCGCTGTCCTTGCACCAGTTTCTAAGAATGTAGAGGGAATTTTGGAGGAGATAACTTAAGGTTTGTGTATGTTTGCCTGTCGCTGTAAGGGCAAAGTAATCAGCGTGTTCGTTGTTAGACACCACAGCAGTGGCGATAAAACTCCTCATTGAGGGTTGTCTCTTGTGGTATGTCTGGGGACGCTGGCGCTGTCCAACTATGCAAAAATTATCCTGTTTCTCAGGATTAGTACTTAGAACCGATCTATTCGTTCGTTTCTATGGTTTGGCTTGATATATCAAAATTTCCGGGAGTGGACCAACAGTCACCGAGCAGATATTTGATTGGCTTGGGCCATTTCATAACCCGATAGATGGTATCATTCGTTGTTTTAATCGAAAGCTTTCTTGGAAAGCACGCTTGTGCATTTTCGGGATCGGTTTCACTGAATTAATGTGCGTAAAAGCCGAGCAATTTCATAGCGTGCGTTATGACAGTTGTTCGTATGGGCTGCTTGAACTTTTCTTATCTGAAACCGCTTAGTGTACAACTAAGCTTCCGCCGTTCTCCGATTGGTGGCTGTACCGGCTGATGCTGGTTGAAATACATAGACGATAATGCCTTTAAAGTGAGTGTGGACAGTGCCTAACGAATTGTCATCGCCGTTTCAGTGACAGTTGTTCTTGTTTTCGTATTACTCACGCTCGAAAATGTCCGTTTATGTGCCTAATTCTCGCCATTTGCGGGAAGTTTTACTTTTCTGTTAAAATTCGAAAAAAGAATGCAGCTGAAGCACATCGAATGCTCTCAGAAACTTACGGCGATGCTGCTCTGAGTGAAAGAACGTGTCGGGAGTGGTTTCAACGTTTTAAAAATGGTGATATTGATGTCGGAGACAAACAAGGTTATGATTTGTATTTGGTGGGATCAGCTCGGTGTGATTTACTACGAGCTCTTAAAACCGGGTGAAACCATCACAGGAGATCGCTACCGAACGCAACTGATGCGCCTTAGTCGCGCGCTAAAAGAAAAGCGGCCACAATATCAAGAGCGGCATGACAAAGTCGTCCTCCAACACGACAATGCACGGCCTCACGTCGCAAAAGTGGTCAAAAAGTACCTGGAAACGCTTAATGGGAAGTCTTGCCCCACCCGCCGTATTCCCCATTCCGTTCGATGGCACACGGCCTGGCAGATCAACATTTTCAATCCTTCGAAGAGTTGGAAAAATGGATTGCTTCATGGATAGCGTCAAAAGAGGAGGACTCTTTTTTTCGAGCCTGGATCCGAAAATTGCCAGAAAGATTGGAGAAATTTGTCGCTAGCGAAGGACAATACTTTGAATAATATATCTGTAAGCACTGTTTTGCAATAAAGCTTTTAATTTTGGAAAAAAGAACGGCGGAAGCAAAGCTGTACATCTGAAAGTTACATGAGAACTGCCCATATTCGCGTGTTGACAAGCCATTTTTGTCATTTGTTCCTGCTTGCTGATCGAGTTCATTCAAATAATTCAAATTCAGATTTGAACTATCTAGGCATGTAATTAAGGCGAGCGAAGTTCTCTGGGTCTGCTAGTACTGAAATATTTTTCATATTTTTTACGCATAAAAAAATTTTTGCAAATTTGTAAGTAAAATAAAATATAAATGTCCGCTAGAATCAGTGAAAACCGTACAGCTTTGAAGAGTAAATATGGGCGAGTTCCAAAACGGTTTTCAACCTCATCTTTACAATGCAACCCTGCAATCTATAAATTTGCCTTGCAACAAAACTTCTCAAACTCTGACATTTTGAAACGCTCTTCGTGCTTTTCGGTGGAATGGCCAAGATATAAAGTAGATTAAAACAAGTTATATAATGTTTACAAAAATAATTAGCGTTAAAACTTACGTTACGACGTCGGCCGTTTTTGCTAAGAATTTACGATATAATAAAGCATCACAAACTTTGGGAATCCGCTCAGGTTGCATTTTGAAACATGATAAATCGTCACAGTATACATTCATTTAATTTCTACTGTAAATCACAAAAAAAATAAGATTCACACGAAGATTACAATTCTCACCGGGAAGTAGACCAGGGACTGACCTATTTGAACAAATGTTATCTGTAGGTCGATTTATTTGAAATTCGGTGCAAAGGCGTCTTTTTGTTTTAGATTAACAGGAAGACTAAAATTTTATTTGGTAAGTGGACCGCGGACTGATCTATTCGAAAAAATCTGATCTGTAGTTCGATTTACTTGAAAATCGGACCGGGAACTAACCTATTCGAAAAAATCTTATTTGTAGGTCAATTTACTTGAACTTCGGTAAAAAGGTGGCTTTTTGCTTACATTAGCAGGAAGACTACAACACAATCTGGGAAGTGGATCAGGAACTGACCTATACGAAACACTCTTTTTTGAAGTTCGGTATACTTGAATTTAGGTGCATATGTAGTTTTGGGACCGGGTTGTATCGCGCACGCCACCATGACACACCAAGCACACGGGGATAATTTTCCTCTCGCCGCATTAAAGAAAAAGGCTATACTCGCGCAATGCATTCCGTTCCCTTATATTTGTGAGTGGAGGAACCGTTTTCGATGTACCATGGTTTGACACACGAAACATACTGTGGGGGGGGGGGACTAGGAGCTGCTGAGTAGCCCTCGCACAAGAGGAGGAGGAGGAGCTGGTTGTGAGTAGGAATTAAGGTCGGTGGGAGTCAAGCTACGGGGAGCTTCTTGAGGTTTTGCTCTGGAGGTAGAGGTCCTTTGCTTACCCAAAGTGGGTAAAGGTGATGAAGACACTGCCGCGTAGGCTACGGTGGACTCGGGCGCTGGCAGCATGGGGCATGTAAAGTGTGAACCACTCCCTGTAGGTCTTAAGGCCTGAGCAGACCTTAAGGTGTCTAACCATTGCACTGGCTTCACCTAACCGACGTGAAGGAGTGTTTTTTGTCATACGCAGCAGAAATAGTCCGTCGAACCAGTGTTGGTTTCAACGCCAGATCTGATGAGAAGGATTTGGAGCAACCCAGCTGCGAGGAGTTGGTCCACTAAGATTAATTTTGTTACCTGTTGACCTAAATATTTTTAGATTATCGAAAGGGTGACAGCCTTTGGACGGGTTGAATCCGGGTCAACTCCAGTGCGTAGAACCGGCTGTCTGGAGAGTTGGTTAGGTCAGTGGTAGATGCAGGTGGTTTTTATTTGACTTGTTATGACAGCATGAGTCGATTTTAGTGGGAAACGCTACTAGCGTCATTGATTGTAGTAATGTTGTTGAGCCATCTGGTATGCTTTCTAAGATAATGTCGATCAGCTCTTCCTGCGCAATATTTGTCTGACTAGCAATGGATTGCAATGCTACAACAAAGATGACACAGGCCGCCGATTGCCTCCTGTCGAGTGACTCTGAGTCGAAGCATCGAAAGCAAAGATGATTTTACAGTGGCATAGTCCAGCAAGCCTTAGTTCAGGACAGGCAGTGTCGCAATGCTAAGCACCTATGTCTCTCGCCGTGCCTGTCACCACTGAACTTTGGTACTGCTGCATCCAACTTTTCGAAAAACGTTGCAGGTTTTCCGTTACATTTTCCTATGACTTTCTTGTATTTAAGTCAATCATCCATTAAAACGGGCCTCCTGTTTTCATCACCAGTCACCACCCGCTTCAGAGAAATGTTGTTTTGTTATGATTCAGCAGCGATTCACAGATTTGAATTCGGAAACCAAAATCTCACATAGTTGACATTACATTAGCGCATTTGCTCCTTGTTGGTGTTCATCTTTGACATGTGCGCAAACACTACTGCGTTAAGTGATAAACACTTCTTCCGTTAGCTTGTTTAGCACAAAATATCTTTCTAACGCCAGCTGGATTAGTCCAATCGCATTTATAAAACGCAAGATGCAGATCAATAAAGCCATATATTATAAAAATAATGGATTACCTACAACTAGGCCTAATAGGGATTGCGTCATCCTACTTACGAAATAAACAATTTTATTGTGACCAGTATTTTACATCAATTAGAAATAATAATATATGCAAACATGCCAGTTTATGTTTTTTTATAACATATATATTTTTCTGTAAATAACTAATTTATATATTGCAAATAATCATGGTGAACACTGTAACTATATATTTTCTAAACTACTCACTGTTATTCGATCAGACTCTCGAAGTATGTGGCAATAACAAGTTGTTCATTAAGAAGCTAAAATTCTCGTAGTTCATGGCGGTAAGAAAGAACTTGTTCACTTATATGGTTTGCTCTTTTATCCGGAGGTGTGATCGGAATTAAAAAAGTCTCAACAATTACCTTTAGTAATTAGGATCATCCTTATTTTATTTGCACAAATTTTATAATATTGTATTTAATTCTTTTAACATCACACAATAACTGTGATTATTTTTTGCTTTTCAGACTTTGACGGCCCTTGATGGCACATGCTTCGTGAATATACATATATGTATTTGAAGTGCTAAAATTTACGAGGAAACGCTGCTCGCTTATAAATATGAGGTTTAAATAGTATAGTTGCTGTTCAGCCTGTAATTTTCGTGAAATTGCCACAAATTCATGGATCTCTTATATACAATCAGAGCGATATGTGCTTTCAATCAACAAAAAAAAAATATCTGAAATACAACAAGCCAAATAACAAATACTTAATTCAATGAAAATAAATATAAAATCTACATAACGTGTTTTAGAAAAATTTTCTTTCGTTATCAAATGTTCTTCAAATATTTATAAGTCAAGGCGGTTCGAACGAAAAAAAGTTTTCTTTGGCACACACTTTGTATACACGGGTATATTTATGGTTGAAGCACCCGTGTATATTCAGTAATGAATTCATTGCAACAAACCAGTGCAAAATCACGACAACTCAGCGGTAGTAAATTACGATTGAATATTGGTGATTTCACAGCAAATACAAAAGCAGAAGCATTAGCTGAAACTGCATCATCATATTTATGGAAATACTCAAGAAGTTTAAGCATACAGAATCTAGTTACCAAAATCGAAGCTTTTGCAATAAAGAAGCCAGCATCCATACAAGTAGGTTTCCTAAACCTGGTATGCACTATCTTACTTAGGCTTTGGGTACAAAATCATTTTATTGAGAAATTTTATTTCGAGAAAAGTATTTGAGGGGGAGGATCAGTGAAATATTGTTCAAAGAACAAGGCAGCAATCTATGTTTTGGCGGCGACGCTTCCCTTAACAGCAATACCGTCGCCGCCTTGTAGCTATAACAAACGTCTCATCTCACTTTGCCTCCTGGGTAATAATTGCCGTAACATTTACGTCTTGGATGCAATTCTGCGTTGTTGTTTTTAATAATCGCGGATGATTGTTACGCTGTTACCTCATTGAAATAGTTCATATAAGCATAAATAAGAACCTGGTCGTAGAAAGCGACGTTCAGGCATTATAAACGATTGCTTTAAAACGATTAAAACGATTATATTCGTATTATTAGAAAACTACTGCATTAACTCATTTTCGGGAATTTACTTTACGTTTTAACTACTGCAGCAAGGCAAACATCACCTAAGATTGTGGTACACCTCTTCAGACTATCTTAAAGTTCAAAACCGACTTGAAAGATGATCAGTGGTAAAAAAATATTTCAGCTTGTGAATTGTTATATTGATATGGAGTCATATGACATGACGTTTATGTAAGCGGTTTGAGGAGTCTGTTGAAAGCGAAAACGGCAACACAACTCCGTTTTTAAAATATATTTGGTTTTTCAATTATACGGAAACTTGAATTTATGTATATGCCTATTGTAACAAAAAAGATGGCGAATTGTATTATATATGATTTTGCAGTGCTGAATATGTGTAAACCTGATGATAATCACTGTAGAAATAATTTACACTTTATAAATGAGCATCCTACCTGCAATAACACATCGGTGACGCAGAAAGTTCGAAGCTGACATTATCTTTGTCAGCGCAAGACGTGCAAATTTCAATACATGTGTCAAATGCAAGGAATAACAACAAGACAGAAACACTTTAAAATTTTTAAAATTTGATATAAATAATTAATTTAACTCAAAAAAAAATTAATTAAGAACTTTGTTCTTAAATCCAACATCGTCCTTAAAATAATATTGCAGAATGATATGTTAAGTATATTAAAATTGCGAATCAATACCTAAGTGTTTAAAATATTTCAGCAAAGTACTTCATTAAAAATAAAAGACATTTGTTGGGACAAAACATGTTATTGTGAAATATTGTGATTAATATGTGCTTCTCTAATATTTTATTGCATTAGCACTTAAATTTCGTAAAAGACTGCAAACTATCTGCTCAACTCTTTAAAAGTGACTTAGTGCTGGTATCTAGAATTATAACAACTAACAGTTTATAGTATTTGCGCTGCACGGATAATTAATTAACATTTTTAAATTTTATTGCGCTATTGCATCATCCAAAAATCATGGCCAAATACACTGAAACACTGTCAAATTTTGAAGCTTCTCAAAAATCCTACCGTTCCCGTACTTCCGTCATTAATGATGTCGTCGTTGACAGTATCAACACATTAACAGATCCAGAGACATGTTCAAGGCATGGGAATAGCAAAAGCAATAGCGCAAAATTACAGTGGTGGAATGCTCCTGCACAGTCAATCTACTTAAAAGAGGCGACCCCGCTTGCATCAATGAACAAGAAGCCGCCTTATCATGATCACGAGCATGGTGTTTTTACTACAAAACAAAAGGGAATCGGCACTACTGTTTCAATGCCGTTAATTACATCTAAAGTTTACTTGACAGATAACGAAATAAAATCAGGAAACATTATAACTAGTGATGATGCTGTTGATCAAAAAGAAGCAAATAAAGTCAAGGAGCGGAAAAATAATACCAAACAACAACAAAACAATAGTAACAATAAAAGCGGTGACTTATCTCCATTGGCACATTCATCAACGAAAGATGTACACGTAATAAACCATCAACACCATAAAAGTGCTTTCAAATCTAACGTAATGGATAATTTAGATAATAGTCGGGCCGATGACAACGAAGACCAAATATTGCAAGATTCACAATTGCTTGCTAAAAGTGAGTACTCCTTAGCAATGTATTTCATCATAATAATATAAATATATCTACATTGTAGAACCACTCACTTAAGTTCTCACCACATTTAAGAAGGCTCTCTGTCAGAGCTTTAAATTTCCAGTAACATAAAATAAAATTGAAAGAAAAAACGAGCTCTGTAACACCTTGCAATGGTTAGTTAGACGCATCTGTATGGTCTTAACACGTAGAAAAGTAGAGCAAGTGGCTCCATTTTGATAACGTGACTCTGGCCGCAATGGCTATCTTAAACACCACATTTTTCGCACCATACCGTAACATTCACAATCGATTCTAGCTGATGCCACTTTCAGATATGTTTTGCCCACGTACACGTATACGTACAAGGTCTAACTTTGGCATATTTGTATCAATGCAATTTAACTGTACGGTACCCAAAGAAAATGAGATAGGTGATTTCAGAAACCACTTGTCAATACCTGCGATTCAAAAAGCTTGAGCTCTGCCGCGTAAAACGTATTGATACTACCCGAAAATTCGCACAAATATACTTTTGCATGGAATATGCTATAATATTTGCCCGCTGCTATTGATAATCCTGTTCTGGACAACTCTCAAGACAGCCGCTCTACGCACAGGATTTTACTCGGCCAAGGGCTGTCACCCATTCGGCGACCCTGTTTAGGTCAACAGATAACATTAATTTAAGTACGCCAATGAAGCAACAACTCGCCGCTGGGCTGCTCCAAATCCTTCTTAGCAAGACTGGCGTCGAAACCAACCCTGGCCCGACGAATTACAATATTTCTGCTGCGTGTGCCACCACTGTCGTTTTTGTTATAACGGCGAAAATATTCCCTAAAGTACTTTTAGGGAATTATGCGGGAGTGACAGCCCTTAGCCGGATAAAAACCCGGCTCATTCTGATATGCCTAGGTAAAGGTTCAGCTTCTATTAGGTGCCTATTGGGGTGCTCCCTGAGGTAAAATCCCAATAAAAACTGCTTGCACAGAAAAGCATTATGCTACTTAACTCGTAGCATAGATGCTTCACTGTGCAAATGATGCTCCGGCGACATCAGGAGTTTTCCTGTCGCAGTCCTGAGGGAGGTGTTCTGGCAGGCGCCCAGATCGGTGCACCATAGTTTACGATAGGCCGGCCAATTGCTTAGTAAATTGCCAGCGCTTTGAGTATTTTATTGCGGCTCTGGAGTCTTGCGGCAATTGCGGTCGTATGCGGAATGAAGGAGTGCAATGTCGTGCAATGAAGAAGTGAAAGAGATCGGCGAGATACCAGCTCACTTTCGAGCACAGATCATCAATATCCTGGCCAGACGCCATTATCGTGCAATTATGGACATACTACGAGTTTAGGGAAACTGCCGCTCTTAGAGGAGGGAGTTTGGAAATATAAAAAATTAAACAGTAGCGGAGAGAGGACACCACCTTGCGGAACCCCCTGATTTTTTGAATTTTATGACTTCCGATGTTTATCGACCACTCAGGTGGTGCATGACCCACCTCAGCAATCCCCGGCGGTTTCGAGGATTCCTCATTCCTCAAGGTCCGTTGGTAGCACTGAAATGTTGACAGGTTGACTGTTGTAACAAGTACCTCGTACAAATAAGATGGTAACATGATGTGAACTTGGGAACGCAATAACATTTTCGCGATTGTTCCACCCTGCTTTTATTTTTAATTACTTCGTTTTCCTCTAGGTATGCATTCACGGAGCAAAGTTTATTAAGTTTCTGAAGAGATTTGCCGGAACTAAGTAGACTTATATCCGACTTAGTTATAATAAGTTGAACTCTTAGTTTAAAAATAATCACTTTTTTCAGCGTTTGCATTTAAATAACTAAACGCTGCCTATTCGTGTACAACAAAAAAGTCGCTGCAAATCTTTATAAACGCTTACAATCCGACAAATATTCCGGGTGCGACAAATAATATGGGTACCTTGTTATTCTGCAGCATCTACTTGGTGGAATTCATTGTCTTGGAACTCTTCGCACTTGGTTCAGATAATAAAAGCTGTGGACCACAAAACCACATCGAGTATTCAGAAGGCGATGAAATTGTGGTTGATCACTCTGCGGGGTGTTCTTTCGAAGTTATCTATTTTCATTGGGATTCGTTTGTAGAATTTTTCCTACCCGATTCAATCTTTCCAACGGAGCGGAGATCTTCCTCTTCCTTTACTTCCACCGGCGGGTACTGCTTCGAAAACTTTCAAAGCTGGAGTATTCGCATCCATCCGGACCACATGACCTAGCCAACGCAGCCGTTGCTTCTTGATTCCCTGAACTATATCAATGTCGCCATATAACTCGTACAGCTTATCATTCCTTTGTCTGCGATGTTCGCCGTTGCCAATGCGCAAAGGACCATAAATCTTACGCAAAACCTCTCTTTCGAAAACTCCCAACGCCGACTGTTGTTGTTGTAACCGCAAAATTATTCCCCAAAGTACTTTTTGGGGAATATTGCGGGAGTGACAGTCCTTGGCCGGATAAAAATCCGGGTCGTTCCGGTATAAAGACCCGACTGTCGCGGGAACTATTGGATTTTAGTGGCCTCTTACGACAGGTATGCCTTACCGCGGGTAAATTCTTGAGGCCCTAACCCGCAGGGATCCTAACGCCGACTCATCAGAAGTCATCGTCCATGCTTCCTCACCATATAGCCGGATGGGAACGATAAGAGATTTGTACAGTTTGGTTTTCGTTCGACGGGAGACAACTTTACTTTTCAATTGTCTACATAATTGTGATTCTGCGTTGGATTTCAAGGCTGCCATTATTGTTGGTGTTGATGCTGGTTCCTAAATAGACGAAATTGTTCACGACTTCAAAATTATGACTGTCAATAGTGACGTGGGAGCCAAGTAGCCAATGCGATGACTATTTGTTTGATGACAGGAGATATTTCGTTTTGTCCTCGCTCACTACCAGACCCATTCGCTTCGCTTCAAGTCTGGAGAAAGCAGAACTACCGTCGCGGTTCTTCAGGCCGAAATACTGTCGTTGTTGTTGTTGTAGCGGTTCAATAACCCCGCTTAGGCACAGGTTTGATCAGTCGTAAGTCGCCGAGATCATCTAGTAGGAGGTCCAGGAAACGAGCTGTTTCGACGGGGTTGGACCAGAGCGAGAGGAGGGTTAGATGACTTGGTTTGAGAAGGCATGTGAATGGGTGGTTAGTGTCGTACGGAGACTCTCCACATGCAGGGCATACGTTGGGTATGCTGGGGTCTAGTCTGGATAAGTAAGAGTTTAACCTGCTACAATATCCAGACCTAAGTTGTGTCAGGGCCACGCGGGTCTCTCGAGGCAGCTTGAGCTCGTTATCTCCTATAGGTGGTGGTTTTTTTCCGAGTACGCCATTCACTGGAAGGGAGTCCTTGAGGGTGTTGACTGACTCCTGGGGAATGGCGTTCAGTGCCTAGGTGAAGGTTCAGCTTCTATTAGGTGCCTACTGGGGTGCTCCCTGCGGTAGCATCACAATAGGAACTGCTTGCTCAGCAAACCATTATGATCCTTAACTCGTAGCATAGATGCTTCGCAGTGCAAGTGATGCTCCGGCGACATCAGAAGGTTTCCTGTCGCAGTCGTGAGGGCGGTGTTCTGGCAAACTTGTAGTTTCTTCATCTGCGTCTCGTTCCACCCTGGCGCCCAGATCGGTGCAGTATAGCTTACGACCGGCCGACCGATTGCTCTATAAATAGCCAACAAAGTTTCTTTGTCTTTACCCCAGGTGCTGCCGGCTAGCGCTTTGAGAATTTTGTTGCGGCTCTGGAGTCTTGCGGCAAATGCGGTCCTATGCGGAGCGAAGGAGTACAGGCTATCTAGGGCTACTCCCAATATTTTTGGGTTATTTACCGTCGCAATTTTTGTGTCATCGACCTTCACATCTAGTTCAAGCCTGTACTCTTACGTCCAGCTGGTGAAAAGGGTAGCCGAGGACTTCGTCGGTTGAATTCGTAGCTGTCTTGCAGTGAAGAAGTGGGAGAGATCAGTGAGGTAGTCGTCCACTTTCGAACAGAGGTCATCAATATCCTGGAAAAAAATCCTTGGAAAATTACCGATGATTGTCGACCACTCAGGTAGTGTATGACCCACCTCTGCAACCCCGGCGGTAATGAGGATTCCTCAATGTCCGATAGTAGCACTGAGTGATTGACTGTGTCAAAAGCTTTTGACAAGTCCAGTGCTACTAGGACAATTCGCGCGCAGGGTCGGTTTTGGTTAAGGCAATGGACTATCTGGCTGTTTATGGCGTTGTGTGCTGTTGTGGTGCTGTGCACTTTTCGGAAGCCATGCTGATGCGCTGCTGGACGCAGATAGTGAGTGAGAGTCGGGAGCAGTAAGACCTCAAGTGTCTTCACTACTGGGGAGAGGAGAGTTATCGGCCGATAGAACTCTTCTCTGTTGGCTGATTTCCCCGGTTTTAGTAGCGGGACCACCCTACCCATTTTCGGGGCCAATGAATTTGGAGGCTTTCGCCTTCCCGATGACCCCCTGAACCTCCTCCCAGGATAAATCAAGCACCGACTTGGTATTCGGCAGTTTGCGCATACGGCGGGTCACACGTCGTTTCGCTTTGTCTACCGAGGCATGCAGTGTGAAAAGTCGGCTAAAATAGCTCTCGCATCTCTTCGGGTCCGACGCGGCGCGGTCACCGAATGAAATTTCCACCCGCTCATCGCGTCTCGTCGGGTGAGACAGCGACTTGACTGTAGCCCAGAGCTTGGTTGCCCCAGGGGAGAGGTTACAGATCCTTAAGTGCTCCTCCCAATTTTCCGCTTGTGATTCTTGACTACTCTTCGAATCTTCGCGTTTAAATCCCTGATTAGGGGATTCCCGGGATCGGAGCTTCGGAGGGTGTCGCGCCTGGATGCTAATACCGCCGCTTTTGTCGGAAAATTTGGACGGATTTCCGCAATTCGGCTTGCCGAGATGAAGGGGGCGGCAGCTTCGAAATAAACGTTCACCAGTGGTGACGTCTGATGGAGTGGGAAGAGCA